AAATGGCTGTAGCCTGCAAGCTATAAAAAAATGTTATTTTATGGGATAAATTGTTATTTTGTGAGATGTGCACCCATCGGCTGTAAAACCAATAGGTGCACAAATCATTTTCTTAAATTGTATTGTCACCTATTCAATTGTTTTACCCCAATTACACCTTCACTCTTAACCTACCTAGTTAGTCAAGAACACAAATATATATATATATATATGTTTATTCCTTAATTATATTCAAATTCATATGCAATGATTTATTTATTTTTTTACAATGCTTTTATCTTAATTTGTTGAGTTTGTTAAATTGTCTTGTCGCCAATTCAATTGTTCTACCCCAATTACACTTTCACTCCTATAACTTGGTTAGTTAGTGTAAAACATATATATATATATGTGTGTGTGTGTTTGTTTCCTGATTACATGTAAATTAATATGCAATGATTTATTAATTTTATACAATACTTTTCTCTTAATTTGTCTACCACACCATCAACTAATTTCATATCATGTAGGACTATCAGTTTAATTACATCAATCAAAAGACAAAGTTTATTTATTTTAGGTGTCAAGATTAAGGGGATTTATAAGAGAATTACATTATGACTTCACCATAAAGTATAATTGATCAACAAAGTAAAGATAGAGCAAATATATTTTTTGATCTAGCTAGCCATTACATATAATCCTTGATTAATTATATATGCAACAATTAATGAAGATAATATTTGTCAACATCATTATATATTATATAATATATAATCACAACAACGAATAATCTTAGTAGGCATATTTTTTTCATATATATGCATGCATTACATAGTCAATCATAAAATTGAAATTAAAAATAGATGACTCACATGACCAATTATTACCCAATCCTAATGAAGACAAGTTGGAACTGAATTTAATTTCTGTTGTTGAGACTAGGGACGGAGCTAGAAAATTCAGTAAGGGGGTGACAATTAGTATTAAATGTTTGAGTTTTTAGGAGTATCTTCTATGATACTAATTTATTTTCTTTTAAATATTTTTTTTCCTATAAAAAAGTTCATTTGTGATCTTTTTTATTGATATATTTTTAATAAAATTAGAAATAAATGTATATATTATAATAAAATATAAAATATTATAGTAATAAACCATATAACGATCAATTAAAGAATGGATTAAAAAAGAAAATTGTGTTTCTTCACAAAATCTCAAAAAAAAATTAAAAGGAAAAACACTACAAAATTATATTATTTTAATAAACTTGCTTTGGAAAAGACAAAAACAATATATTTTTAAAGTACAAATGAAAGTGCTTTGATTTTAGTGAAATAATGTAATTTTGGGGTATTTTCCTCCTAATTTTTTTGAGGTTATGTGGATAAACACTAATATTATAAAAAATACTAGAATATTTCTTTTAAAAAGTAAACTCTAATTTTAATTGATTTAACACAAAATGATTATAAATTTAATCATGAAAGGTAAAAATGTACCTCAATGCCATAATAAAAATTTTAAATTATTATATAGAATAATAAGAAAGAAAATAAAAAAAAAACTAAAGAAGACTATAAATTTAAAGTTGATTAAATAAAGAATTGAAGTTTTATTTTCTAAAGCTTAATAGATAAGGAAATGTTTTTTTTTTTTTTTATGTTGGTTGCATAACAGAAAATAACCCTCTCTCATCCCTTGTTCCACTTTACTTATATGTCATGCGACTCAAACTTAAGACTTCTTATTTCCAACGAAAGAAGATTACCATTGAGCTATTTACGTTGTTGGTAGATAAGGAAATGTTTAAGAACCCCAATTCCTAATTAATTAAATTGTCATAAAGTTCATTTTATTTAAAATCATATTCTTATTTTTTTAAAAACTTTTTATTTAAGTAGTAAATATTCTCTCTAAATATGCAATGATCCTTGAAATTCATACTATAACACAAAATTTTTAACAAATAAAAGTTAAGAGTACCATATTAAATGTTTTTCAAAAGTTTAGGGGGGAGGCTTCCACCCCCCTGCGGTCCTTCATTGGCTCCATCATTGATTGAGACCTTGTCTCATTTTTTCATCTCAATAACTAACAACTCAAATTAAGTCTGAATGGTAGATTTTCCTTTTGGTTGATTCCTGCACATTGATCTCATAACATGTGAAACAGACTCATAACATAAAATTATCATTTGTGTCCTCTAGAATTCTTCTTGATCAACCCAAACCTCATGCATAATGCCAACTCTTGCATCTAGTCAATGAAAAAAATGCATCCACACTACCCAGTTGCCCGCTACCAATGGTAGGAATGAGCATAAACTAAATCAAATAGCTTTCCATTTTTTAGCTGAGCACTTTTAAACAGGATATCATTTCTAACTAACCATAAAGTCTATATGACAACAAACCATATTATTTTTCATTCATGCCTTTGTCTAGCAGACCAACATAAGTCACCATATCACTCAAAAGCCTTCCAATTCAATTGTCCTACCCCAATTACACCTTCACTCTTATAACCTAGTTAGTTAGTCTGGAATTTATATATATGTTTGTTCCTTAATTACATGCAAATTAATGTGCAATGATTTATTAATTTTATACAATGCTTTTCTCTTAATTTGTCTAACAAACTATTAAGTGATTTCATATCATGGAGTACTATTAGTTAATTACAGCACGTCAACAGAACTTCATTAATCAAAAGACAAAGTAGTTTATTTATTTTATGTGTCGAGATTAAGGGGATTTATAAGAGAATTACATTATGACTTTACCATAAAGTATAAATATTGATCAACGAAGTAAAGACAGAGCAAATATATATATATATATATATATATATGAATCTGGCTAGCCACTACGTATAATCCTTGACTAATTATATATGCAACAATTAATGAAGACAATATTTGTCAACATCATTATATATTATATAACAATCACAACAGCAAATAATCTTAGTAGACATATTTTTTTTATATATATGCATGCATTAAATAGTTAGTCATAAAATTGAAATTAAAAATAGATGACTCACATGACCAATTATTACCCAATCCTAATGAAGACAAGTTGGAACTTAATTTAATTTATATTGTTGAGACCAAGGATGAAGCCAAAAAATTCAGTAAGGGGGGTGAAAATTAGTATTAAAGATTTAAGTTTTCAAGAGTATCTTCTATTATACTAATTTATTTTCTTTTAAATCTTCTTTTTCCTATAAAAAAGTTCA